GGACCAAATTGAACTGATTTGCAAAGTCTCCGAGAGATTTCTGCTAATGTTTTCAGGTTACGTCCTGCAACAGCAAATTAAATGAACCTTAAGCATCTCTCTCTCTCTCTCCCCAACTCGCTGCTTCTCTCCTTCTCATTCACTCTCTTACTTTATTCCTTCATTGATTGTTTTCTCCCCACCTTTTAAAAATGCTTTTGTGCAAAATGTTACCATTTTCGGCATCTCTGTCTCATGTAATAGCTAGGGTGACAGAAGGGTTTAGTGGTGCTTTAAACGGAGGCTATAAGTTCCTATTTGATCCTTCCGTAAAACTTTGGAAGCTGCTCAGTAAAGCACATGACCTTTTGTTGATATAAGAGAGCGTTTTTTTTTTTTTCCCCAGCAAAGAAAATTTAACATCAATGCTATGTTAGTAGAATACTCCATAAGTGTCAAAAATAGGGGGGAAGAGGGGGTAAATGGGTCTGTTCTCTTTATAAGTTTTAGTGACCACTTTTTGTGTTAGCTATCTTAACTGAATTTTAATTTACTGTATTTTCCTATTTTGCTATGATGGGAATAGTGTATTTGTAATTAAGTTGTTCCTATTTAGAGAAATATCTGCAACATCCTTTTATTTGATGTTGTTGCAAGTAAAGCAGGGCTTTGAAAGAATTGTAGCCCTCTTAATGTTCCTATAAGTACACATTGCAATTTTTAAATTTGAGTTCTTATCCCAGCATAAGTTCATTTTTTTGAACTATAAATAGAATGTTGTTTGCCATTAAAAAGAATTCAAACTTTGTATTCTGTATGGTGAATTAAAAAAAAAAGCTAAAAAAAGCCAGGATGCATGATACCCAGGCTTTTTTTCATTTTCATGAAAGCTACCTTCTGTATAAACATTTGTTGTATCTGACTATGCAATGCAAGCTAGGTGCTAGACCAGCTGGTTAAAAATATGCTAAGTCAAGCTGTTCATCGCTCAAACGACTGAATTTGATATGAAAAGACGAAAAAAGAAAGGACAAAGATTAAAACATTCTAGAAGTGAAGCAATGGAAGAAAAAAAGAGTATTGAGGATAAAGTAACGCTTGAATGTGGTCATGTATTAGAGAAGCCGATATCAAATCAGGGAAGAAAGTAAAATAGCCAACATATATACTTCAATGCTGTCATCTTTCTTTGATTTCTTCTGCTTTTTTAAAATTAAAGTGCATCCTTACTAGATAATTCCAGCGACTGTTTGAGCTTTCTTAACACTTTTGAATTAAAAATTTCAGTTCTGTATATTAACTCTTTAATTAGTTAGCTTTTATTTGCAAAGACAGCCTTATTTTGTAGGAAAATGTTGAAGTTATTCATCGTGGAACATACCATATATTACCTAATGTAGCAATTTGCTAATTTAACACAGCTAAATTTTTTAGCATGCACAGAGTAGCACTTAAATGATAATATTCTTTAATTCTAATTATACTTTTTGCAAATACAACTCTGAGACTGATTTGTAAGCCTGTTAACAGATTGTACTTATAAAAAGGTAGTTACATATTAACTGGCTGTAGCCTATTTCTCTATATAGGAAAGCTTCCTGCTGTGAACTTTATTTGTATTTTTTCAATTATCTCTTTTTAAACCAAACTTTTCCCTTTCCTATTCTGATGCTCAAATCTGTTAACATCTTTTTTTCTTCCTGGTAGGAATTTCATTTTTTTGTCACCCAGAGGCGTGCTTTTCTAACTAGCTAATTAAATAAGCAAGTCATAATCAATAGAGTTGTTAGTATGACTGTCACATTTAGAAATATTAGTCGCTGAAATAATTCTGAAAAATGTCATATAATATAACATTCCTTAATAATTTCCCCTGTGGTGGTAATTGGTAATACATACAAAGATCTCAGCAAATCATTACTATTTGTTTACATTGAATTTGTACGGGTGAGTGTCTCTATAGGCACCCATGCATGATAGAGTATATCATGTAGACACAATATTGAATATTTATATTCTCCAAAGGAGGTATTTACAATGTAACTACACTATCAAATGTAATTAGATTTTTTTTTTTTTTTTGCCTTTTCAACTGTTTGCAACTTTCATTAATAAATAGGTCATTTCTATTGACTTAATTTTTATTCTGTTGGGTCCCTTGCTAAAGACAAATTTTTCACTCAGACTTAGAAATGTAAAAGGAGACTTCTAATTTTCTTTATGAAACAGAGAACTTTGATCTAGAGGACATAATAAGTTGCTTGGGGTGCATGTACTGTAAAAGTTTTATGTGATCATTTTTACTAATTTCATTGGTAGAATCTTGTCCATCTTTTATTCTTTCCAGGCTGTAGACTATTTGAACTTTTAGGAATATTCAAAACTTAAATATCAGGATTAAAATTTGGGTTTAGATTTCCATATGTCTATATTATCATCCCTAGAAATGAACATGGTCAGTACTGTCAGACTAATAAACAGTTGTTAAATAGTTAAGAAGTGGTAACAATTTCATTGTCTGTTAAAAATATGCAGGTGATAGTGCAGATAAAACAGTGATTCTGAACAGTAAAAAACTTTAAATAATTTTATTTTCAAGCATCCCTGTGATAAGTTGATTATGATTACTGAAAAACACAATTCCTAGGTGGGAAGCAAATGAGCATATATTTTCTAAAAAAAATATTTGCTAGGGAAGTCTTGCACATCTTACTGTTTAGAGGAAACATAACTGACACCATGATCTTAAATGGGAGTAAATAGCATCATTAGAATGAATGCCCGAACTCTCCCCAAATTTTTAAAAGAAGTCAATGAATTTATATATTTAACTGAAAGTAAATAATGATAAATTGTGGCTTAAGGTTTTCCTTTGAAAATGTCACCTGCTTTTGGATATTTCAAGGATGAAAAGAAAATATTTGCCTTAAATGTCAATATTAGTTTGTTCGTGATAAGTAAAGATAGCCATTTTTGATATTTTCTCAATAACATTTAATTCTGTTTCTTTCTTTTTTATTTATATCTGACCTCTTTGGTTGTAATTTAATAGTTTTGTCTCTAAGCTATTTGTTACCGTGTCTAATTGCTTTATGTTAGAAACTTAAATAGCAAGTGTAAAATGATTGCTTCAGAAGACAGTTCTGATAACGTCTAGGAAGGAGAAAAAAAGTTGGGATTGAAAGTAGTGGGATTATGCAAATTAAGTTGTTCATATCACCTATTTGATTGCTTCTCCCAAATTGGTACAGACAACAGGCAGCAGATTTTCTAGATGTTGAAAGGAACACTACAATAGTAAAACCTTCTGCAATAAAATTTAACTTATTTACTTCATATTTCCATCAGATTTATTTCTGGTCATACTGACTAAATCAATATTTTTTTTTCTTATTAGCAAACTTGTCAGCTTTATTCTGAAGAAAGAAATATACATCAGGTGCTGTTACAAACTAATTCATAAAATTCCCATGAAAAGCTACTACTAGAGGTTTGCAAAAAAAAACTACTCTCTGACATTAGTGGTACTTTAATTACCAAAATTTGACCATAGTAAAGAAGTATTTATTACACAGACAGATATATTTTGCTTAATTAAAAACTTAAAAAAAAATGTTGTGCTCATGAGTGATAAGTACATTCAGGTTAGTAGAGACACTGTAGGTGTGAAACACAGAAAAGTTACATTCTGTCACCTAATGGCAACTGTAAACCTGTAAGTTTGATATTATGTTTTCAAGATGTTCTGATAGCCTCAAATAATTTTATTTATCTTTTATTTACTACTTTGTAGAGGACATGGTATCTACAACTGAGTACAGATTTTAATTACCATGTCAATAATTTGCAAGCTAACTGAGCTAAGACATTGGTTTGGAATGCAGCTTGCATAAGGCAGTTCATAAACCACGTTTCTATCACACTCATGCTGGAATACTGTCCTGAAGACTTGGCAGGAGACCTGACTGATTACCAAGAACAATTAAGGGTTAAATGTCAGGTGACATTGTGAACCTCTCAGTTTTTAGCAGGTTTGATAGACATAGAAATGTGCAAATATGATTACTTCACATATTGGTGTGCTCTTAGCTTATGTTTCTCAATATCATAAGTACATGTTAAATAAAGTATTTACCTGTACTTAGGGAGCTTTTGGCAAAAATCTGTATATGCATCATACATGAGAGGCAAATAATAAGACCTGTTCTGATTCTTTAGCACATTAGCCCTCCACAGAGTTGGAAACTATTTCATATGGATTATACTCATAATGCATTTAGAAAGCAAAATTACATTCATGGGTAAAGGCTGATTTTTATTGTTTGTTTTCTTTCCACTATCAATTCTTCAGCAACCTAATGAGGACATTGTATAATGCAGATGTGCATTATGTAGGCTGAATACTTCCCTTTTTATAGATAAGTTAAATAAGTATAACAGATGAATTTTGTTTTTCTTCATAATTTGTTATTCATTTTTAATTTCAATGAGGTTATCCAACAGCCTGGGAAAGAAACTAGTCTAAGTTTTTCTCTTGTACTAACTCACGTATAGCTACAGTATGCCAGGTCTCTGATTCAGATGATGGCAGTAAGATAAAAAGATTTTCAAAGATTTAGCCAAAGTATGAAATATCTCCTTCCTAATGGAAAATTTTCTTGAATAAGAAATGGACAAAAACATAAAGTCTTTCTTCCTTCCTTCATTCTCTCCTTCCTTCATTCTCTCTTTCCTTCTCTTTCATTGATTGATAGCATGGTCGTTTGTATTAAATGTAAAATTTGATTGCTATGTAGATAAACAGGATCAAGTTGTTAGTATCACCTATTTTATTGCTAGAGTGTGAAAAAATTTAAATTTGACATGCTTTAGGAGAATGCCACATTTTCCTTCATTATGATCAGGAGCTGATAGTAGTTCAGGAGAAGACCTTTATATCTTTCTGACCTCTATGTTTTCTCCTGCAGTTTGGAAGCTGTTTTTTCTTTCCTTTAGTGTTATCTATTCTTTTCTTTACTTACTGATTGAGAGTTCATACATCTTCTATGGAGATATTGTGGCATATGGTTTTGCTTGTCCAATAGGGGGGTGTTGCATTTCTCCACATTCAGTATCTTTTTCCCTTGGAGCCTGAGAGTAAAACCTCAGCAGTACTCCCTCCCTTTGCCAGCCTGAGGAGTCAGAGACTCAAAGTTGTTCCCAGCTCTTGCGCCTTCATTGTAGAGCTGCATTCTGCTCAGTGGGCTGCCGCGAAGGACCAGACCGAAACAAGATTTAGAAGAATTCTGGTGAGAACTGTTTATAGGGATATGGTATTTTAAAAGAATGTAGTAAACAAACAGAATTGTGGCATAAACAAAGATAATTAGCATAAACAATGTCGTTTTAGGACAGGTGGTTTAAAAAAACAAACAAAACAAAAAACCCAAATATGAACCCAATTTGAATGCTGCCAGTTTGGAACCACTGAACCTTAATCTGTACTTCATGAGAATTACCCAGGTTTGTTGATAAACTTGTTAACATGCATTTTTTGTTTCTTTTGTATCATTTTCCGGTCATTATGCCCTTTTGTCACCCAGCTTGAAAGTAATTAATCTATTACAAGGTAGTTTAAGGAGTTTTTGCCCATAAAACATGACAGAAGGAAAATTTAAAACAAAAGCTTGTAGATGTTCATAGACATTTGAAGTCAGTGTCAAACCTTAAGTCAATTCAAACCTGAACTCGGCTCATTGTATTTCAAACCTCTCTTTCTTTTATCTAAGTAACATTTTAGTCAGTTGGCTCTTTAGTGTAATACATTTACTTTTGTCTTGCCTTAAAATTCAGAAATGTTTTGCTATGGCTAAATCAGCATTTTTGTGTTATATGTTTCTAAGTGTTGCTTATTTCTTATTATTTTTCTCTATAACTTAGTGAAGGTGGTAGAACAGCATATAAATGTATCTGATGATCATGCAATATGAGGATGCTAGTTATTATGTACCACATTATCTAAACCTACTATGCCGTCGTGATGAATTTTTATCTGGAGACATTAGGTTTATTACTAAATGACGTGTTTTCTTAATGCCTTGTACTGAAATGTTTTGACTTAAATGAAATGTGGAGTGTGGTGGACAGAAGGCTGTTTATTTTTCTTGCATTAAGGATCAAAGTTCTTTATTGAAGTTAAAGAAATTTTTTTTCTCCTCACTTTCTCATGGACAATGGGGAGCAGGAATTCAAAGTGGGTATCTCTGGTATTCTGTGGCCCTTCTCTTTGCTGAAATGAAAGCATTTGTGAATGAGTTTTGGTTTCTTGGAGTTATAAAATGTGTGTAAACTAGTAAACCATGTCTCATTCATGTGCTATGGAGATTTCTCGTACTTCAGGGACAAAAATAATTTGGCTACTAACGAATTAGGGCTACCTGCCAGTGCCAACACATAGTGTAGGTAAGAGGAACACTATAAAGAAAAGCTGCTGGCAGCAAATCCGTTGAAACTTTCATATGTAACAGCGTTTCTATTTCTGCTCTTCACATCTTTGAAAGAAAGTGTGTTTTAGAAAAGAAAATGTTAAAAAACAGAAGATATGATCTTTCTTAAAAATGTATGTGTAGCTCTACTTTAATATTTCTCATTGTGGAGATGCATAGGCTTTCATTACGTTGTATGCACTCTTGGTTCCCCTGCCTTTCCCAATCATTTCTGTTACATTGAAACCTAAGGATCAGATGCACTGAGAGTAAGTGTAATATGAAGAAATGAAATTCACTGCATAGAGCCAAAAAAAAAAAGAAGCCTCAGAACCTTATACAAATTTGATGTTGGCAGTTTAAGGGAGTTAGATCAATTGCTAATCAGCAGCAATTTTATAAAGGATGTGTCCTCTCATTTAGGACTTCAGGAACATTTTTGAGAAAAGAAAGGAAAGAGTTAACCTGTGTTGCCTGTTGTTAATTTCTTAATATAGGAGCAAAAGAAGAGATAGAGCCAAATTGTGTTTTTTGGCATATTTTTAATTAAAATTTGTTTCAGAATGTAGTCAGTGTTTACATTAGTATTGAGTTTGCCTTTGTTTTTTGTTTTTATATTAAGTACGATTGAAATACCAGGGAGATAGGTTATTTAAACTCTGGTTGTGAAACTTTTACATAAGATCTTTGATGTATCATTTTAAACGATTTTATATTTATCTAATAAAAGAGCATCCTAATGAAAAAGAAATACAACATTGAAAATGACAAGTATTCCTAAAGATAAGAGAACACAAGATGAAAAAGTAATACTTTATTATATTATTAATTTTTCCTTCACAGTTAATATAGATTGCTTGAAAAAGTTGTAAAACACTTTTATTCTAATTGCAGAGTTAAAGTATTATTTGTTTGCCTACAATTCTTCCTTTGGTTATTTGCCCTGGGCCAGCATTTGTTGGGCAATGGTTTTCAAAGTCCAAAGACTTTTTTTTTCACTCCTCTCCTGATGTCCCTTTGTCATTTTTTTTTTATTAGCTAGTGAGTTTCATAATATGTTTGAAAAGAGGTTGCAGGGGGATGTCATATATAATTCAGGTTAATATTTCCTTCCTTTTTTCTTATCTGTCCTCGAAGATATGTTGAAGATTCGTTAGGATAATGTATAGTATTCTCATTATTTAGTGTAGAATGGAATGACCAGGTGCCCAAACTATTCAATTTATTATGCATTCACTAATTCAACTTTGACCTTGGATGAATAACTGAATATGCAATATCAGATTCAGATTCTTTGTCATCTATAATACAGCATTATCAAGATGTAAAGAAAACTTTTAGGTAATAGTCAAAATACCAATAGTCAGACAGAACACCTAGGAATGGAAAAAGAGAGATAACTTTAATGCTATTCCTGAGAGTAGAACTTCTGTTTTCCTCCCATTCTAAACATAACTAGAATTTGGGAAACAGAGAAAAAGGTATTGTTTTTAGGACCCTAAGGATTATGAGATATAATTATTTAGAGTGTAATTATTTCTAAAAATGCTAGCATTACTGGAAAAATAAAATGATTCTAATTTGACCTATAAAGAGTTTAAGAGTATTTAATGCTTTAAAAGCATTCTTCTAGAGAAATAAAAGCCTATCCAAAAGATCCTGATAGCAATTTAAAGAACCAAAGTGATGGGACAGAATATTTAGACCTTTATTAGTAAATTAAAAGATAACTGGAAGTCACTGACAGTTATATGAAGGATTATTTTAGGGAATGTAATAGTTACACGGAAATGCACATGCAAAAGTTAGAAAGCCAGGAGAAACTTTTTCATTTATAGGGCAGTTGATCTCTTGAATGAATCCTGCCAAATTCTAATGAAGCTGCAGTTTGGGGCAAAAAATCTTGAAAGGAAGGAATATTTCATGGAAATACAAACAAGGTTCATTTCCGTTTTCTTGTTTGCAGCACAGAATCCTGTGGCATGTGCTACAGGGACATATAATAGTATTCCAGCTTGAAAAAAATTGGAGGTGGTATTGCGGTGCATATTTAATGGAAAATTTGAACTGAAGACGTTGGGTGAATCAAGGTATACTTGAGTAATATTTGGGAATATTTGAGATTTTAGATTGAGATAATAAGGAAGTTTAGTGTTAAGGTTTAAAGCATACCTATCGAGTGTGTGTGTGTGTGTGTGTGTGTGTAATACGACTTATCTCCTCTATAAATAGAATAATTTCCTCTTTTAGGTTAAGATTTATACTTGCCAGTATCTTCACTGATTTTTTTGGGGGGCGGGGGGTTAGAATGTAACAGTACAAAGCGCTATTAGCTAGATGTTAATATCTCAAGTTTTAGTTCTTCTTTACAAACTGAGACATCTTTGGCTCTTAGTGTATGCATCTGTATAATTAGGAGATAGGATGAATAATTTCTAAAATGGGTTATCTCTAAAATTTTATACTTTGAACTACATATTTGATGTCCCCAGCTCCGAACTGTAGTGGTCAGAATTTTTGCATTTTTGCAGCTATTTGGAGATTATCTCTATGATCAGCCTTTACATACAGAATCACTTCAGTTTACCTGTCAATTAGGTATCATTATACAGGAAAAAGCAACCATAGTGCAACTTAGGAATTTTTAATCTAAATATTATGTATAATTCTTATTTAGGATTAAGTGCCCAAGTTTGCTCTGAGCTATTTGAAGTGTTTCAAAAGATAACATTCACATTTTGTGTTCCCCAAACTCTCAGACATCAGATCACCATGCTAACAATTACAAATATTGTAAAAGATAAATTACATATGGTTTAATGAACAAGATACTATGGGGAAATATGAAAAGCCTAAGAGTGGCAGTTTAGGTCAGAGAGCTAAATGTCTATTTATAAGGATAAAAGAAAAGAAAAAATAAGAAGCTTCTGCAGAAGAGCATTAGTACAGCATAGGGGCTTGGATAGTATTCATCTTTACATGAATAAATAAAATATTAGTCTGGAAAGTAGCAAGATCAACTAAGATTACAAACATGTAGTCCAAAGAAAAATTTTGAGTGTTTCTCAAAATAAATAACTATTAGGATTACCAGGCCAGTCAATTTGATATGCATTATATTATACTTGCTAGTTGGCAATTTGAAGAAAAGAAATGTTAAGCCCTACACAGCAAGGGAGTAGAGCAAAAAGCAATGAAGTGTGCATTAAAAGAGCTATATCGAGAGGACAGGCTTCATATATTGTTAATTAATATATTTGGCAGGTCGCATGCTATTTTTTTTTAATGCACTGTTGGGAAAACATTGTAGTTGTACCATCAGGAACATACGTATCTAAGGTCCTTCCGCATTGTCTCTACTTAGACAGTATGTCTGTGGTATCATGAAATCTCTGTACAAATTAGTTTTTATTCAAAATATTGATTCATGTATTTGAGATAGGGATGTTCTGTGTTAAAATTAATTTTTTTTGCAGAATAATTATGTAGAATTTTTTATTTGATTCCTGCCACTTTTAGGCATGAAGAATGGGTATTATTCTCTTTTTCTCCCTCTATAGATACAAATGCTGAAAAAAGAAAGAAAGAAAGAAAATAACCTCACTGAACCGGCACTACATTTAGAACTAGGACCAAAGAGAAATGTGCAAATATCCTACTGTTAAACCAGAAAGAAAATCTGGAAATCATCCAGTTGGGCAACTTACTGCTAATATATTTTATAGTCCAGCATTTAGTTATATACAAAGTTGGCATATGTTTCTAGAGTTTCTAAATCAAGGATTAGAACTTTGTGATGTATAAGTCAC